CCTGGAGCTGGAGACAGAGGGTGAGCACTTTAGGAGACATGTCTGGAGATGCTTGGTTTGGGATTTCACCTGCATTCACATCCATCAAATAATCACTGTCTACGACTGTGGTTGGCAGGCATGATCCCTGCCCAGGCAGTGTGCTTTTGGCCAGTGCTTTGGAGTGTGAATTTTCATTCCATGTAAACTTCTGCCCTGCATAACATCACCTTTTACGTGGATGATGTGCTGTCATATTTGTAACCTCAGAAGAAAAACATAGCAATCTTGCTATGACCTTTTATCTTCTATTTCGCATTTATTTTGTATAGTGTTTATCAAATTGATCATACATTTGGTCTTGAGGAGGGCTGTTTCTCCTTTGACAATCATATTTATCATTGTCCTCGTGAGGATTTCTATTCTCCTTGTTTCAACATGGGAAATTGGACGCACGTACCACACTACATTACACCAGAAGTGACTAGAAAATACATCATCTCTGTATTAAAATGTTTCTCTTTCTTAACTCTGCCTTTGCATCTTGCGTTCTTGGGTAGCCTTAAAGATCTAGGCTGTATGTCTTCTGTCTGACTTTTTCCTGAAAGACTACAAATGGGAATTTGGATTACAGATCAAATAGTCCCTGTTTTGCAGTGAGGGAAGTCAAACACTGCAACAGGCTGGCAAGGGATGTGGTGGGTTGTCCCTTCTTGTTGGTATTTCAGGCGCTGATGGACATGGTCCTGAGCAACCTGCTCTAGGTCATCCTGCTTTGAGCAAGGCACTGGGCTAGATGATCTCCAGAGATCCCTTCCAACCTCAACCACTCTATGAAAATCCATTTTTTCCTCTAATTGCCACCTGTGTGTGGGCCTTGGATTTAGTGCAACACCTTTGTAGTATCTAATGTTTTTTTTTTTGTATTGTCTTTCTGAATTTTCCAACAATCCTTATTGCCTTTGACATTTAAACTAATGTTATCCATTTCAATTTCACTGTCATGATTTATAGTCTTCTAGGTCACTCATCAGTGTAGGATCATCAGAAAGTTCTTGTTGGAAAGGATGTCAAGAGGTTTCTAGTGCAGCACCTAGCTGAAAGAAGGTCCAAAACCTCCAAGTATGGAGAGGACAAACTATGGATACCAGGTGAATTCAAGCATGTTGTGGGTGGTATGTCCATAGACACATATTAACAGCTTATGCTGTTTCATTTCTGGAGATATTTTACTATTAACCGGCTGAAAATAGCCTGTGTATTCCTTCTCTGTTAATACAGTTTAACCTAAGTGATTTCCAGTCTGATGCAGCTTCTTACCTTGTGACAATCAAGCTTCTCTAGCAGCCTTTTGTAAAGGCTTTATCAAAGGATTTCTGAAAGTCAACACTAATTACATATACCCGTGTTCCTTGCTGCTAATTTGACACACTTCAGGAATTCTAATAGAGCAGATCAGAGACATGACTTCTCTGTACAGAAGCCATGCTGCTTTGTCACGATGATAATTTGCTTGGTTAAGCATTCTGCACCTTTATCATGATCTAGATTTACTTTCCCATCTAATTAACCCCATTCTGTTGCCAGGACTTTCTGGTCTGTCATGATAATACTCTTTCTTTCTAACATTTTCCTTTAAAAACAGACAGAGCCTTGCCTACCCTCTACTCTTGTGAGACTGGAGCTGGGTTTCATGGTAGGCAATGTATTTTTGGTAGCAACTCAGAAGTTCCTGGAGAGCTTGGGGCAAGTGCCAACTCATACAGACAGCATGCTGCAAACCCAAGTGATTCAGATATTCCACGAATGACTTTTTAGGCCCCTGGAGGGTTTTTCAGCTCCGGGCTGTCCCTATCGCTGGACTCAGTCCCATCAAGGACTGTGGAAGCGTAGGGCAGGCAGAGTTCCACTTTGCTTCACCATAGTTGCTGGCCTTTATTTGCAGCTGCTTTTTTTTTTTTTTTTTTTTTTTTTTTTTTTTTTTTTTTTTTTTCAAGGTTTCAATGGTGCTTTCCTTGCCCACAGTAGCTCTTGCCATTTGCTGGAAACTTTTGTTTCAAAGAGGCTTTTTCTGGCAAGATGGTGACCTATATGCAAACAAATGCACAGCGTGTTCTTTCAGGCTGGAGAAAGGCTTGCTAAGTCATTCTCTCTTCAGTTTGAAGAAATACCAAGTGCATAACAATGACTTCCATGAAGAATGCTCTGCAAACTCAGCATAATATCAAATTCAGCAAAAAAAGTACACATTTTGAATTAACGCTGTATGAAAGAGTTCCAGCCCTGCTTGCTTGTTCAGAGCCAAGTCTTTGCTTTTCTCTTCTTGAGAGAGGAGAAAATAAAATGATTAACAATTTACATGCTTCTGTATTCCAAAACCTTACACTGGTCTTCTCCCTTTGCACTGACCCCTTTCTCTGTGAAAACGAGCAGTGTACCTCAGGGGCTTTAACATCTTGCTCCTGTCAGATAAAGCCATCTTGGATGGGAAACACCTTGTGCCTGGGGGTCAGTGGCAGCTCACGGAAAGGAAAAGAATGGAAATCACTTCCATTGAAAGATTAAAAGCTGTTAAATTGGTGGTCCTGAACCGTAGCCCTGCCCCAGCTTACCCCAGTGTAGCCTCAGCACTGCAGCAGCACATCAGTCGGGTTTGCTAGCAGACACACATGCCAGTGGGGAAATTCATTGTGGTACTGTCATCACCTCACAGGGTGTGCAACTAATTAAAAAAAAAAAAAAAAAAGCACCTGATGTGAGCTGTAGTTAAAAAGTAGGAAATTACTAATTAGTAACCAACTAATTCAGGGTTTGATTCACACAAATTGCAGTATTACTGTAAAAAAAGCGATTTCAAGCAAACAGTGATTTTTGTTTTAAAAAAAATAAAGGCACTGAAAATGTAATTGATGTTGTGTTAATTACCTGTCAGGTTTCAGGTTTCTTGTATGTTTCGTCACCATCTGATACTTACAGGCAGAAGACACGCCTGGAAAAAAGAAAATGTAAAGCTTTCCCCATTGCATTGTCATTTGCAACTCTCAGGTTTTCCCACTAGATTGTTCTTGTAAACTCTTGCATTTCATAGCACGCAAGAGTGACCACTTAGAACATCACTGTAGCACTATCGTTAGCATCAGAGTTCAGTTACACAGAAAGCTGTGAGTGGGATGAGCCAAGTATCATTTTCTCTGTGCCTTACCGTAGTGCTAATAAAATGATTGCTTGTCAGTTCTTCTCGTTAGTGTCACTGTACGATGTAAAAAAAAGAATGGATTTTCCTCTGGCTAAGAAATCCAACATGTAGCATGAAACAACAAGATGTCTCCCTCCCGCAGCTGTGTGCAGGTAGATGAGCAGCTTTGCATCTCATCTCTGGGTGTGAAGTCAGTAAAAGGAAGGTGGATGTCGCATTGTTTGTTTTTCTGTTAATGCAGGCATTTCAGTGTACCCAGAAACGTAGGCTGAGTCAGCATGTTGTAAATCTCCATTAGAGAGATGCTGTAAGCATTCCACTAAGAACTGTGATAATATGAGAGTTCCATAATGTTGGCAAAAATAACTCTTTGGAAAGAGGCATCGTAGCCAATGGCTTATAAATACGATAGAAGTGGGAAGATGGAGTTATCATTGAGAAGTTCAGGATATATTTACAAGCAGAACGCAGGTCCTGTTAAACCCATTCTTGTCTGGATTATCACTACCTTCTGAATGACACCTTAGGAAAACAGTATCCTGGTTTGAATGCAAGAGAAATAGTTTAAGATATTTTCTATCTGCCAACGTACCTGTCTATCATACTAGGAAAGGAAAATGCTGCAAAGATCCTCTTCAAAAAAAGTAGTGGAGGAGGGATTTTGCTTCCACTTTGCACAGTAGTCAAGTATTTGTGGCACAGCAGTGTTACACCAGAACATTCTCCTCTGTCACCCTCAGCTCTGAGTCATGCTGCTTGGAAGGCGGTTGTTTGTGACAAGAACAATTCCTTAAAATAGTTGAAGTTTGCACGTTTGCACTGCTTTCCTTTTGGCAGCAGGTAGACTGATACATACAAATAAACCTTTTTCCCATGTAAACCTTCAAACAAATGTTCAGTTTGTTTTCAGGTACCAAGTGTGCTTCAGCACAGCACGGGGTTTCCACTTGCTTAGTCAGAAAAGCTGAAGCAGGAAAGTAACGCAGACAGCATTCAGTCTGATGCTCAGTAGGAAGTTTTGGGTAGGAGAAAAATGAGTTCAATGTGTCCAAGTGTTGACGGGGTTCACGCAGTGCTGGGTGTCGAGGGAACCTGACCCCCCCAACACCACTGCAACCCGATGGCTGTGCTGAGAGGTGCTGACAGTGCGACATGCGTCAGAAACGACAGAGCAACAGGCAGGGAACTTCCTAACTCAGAGTCTGGTAGCGCATGTTGTATGTCCTACAGACGTCGGGCTGCTGTCAGCACGGGGAGACTCTCAGCAGGAGGGAACGGCCCCAGCACCCACGTGCTGCCCAGCCACCCATAGTTGGAGCTCGGCAGAGCTCAGGGGATTTTCCTGTGTTTGTGGTCCTGGAATTCAGAAAGTGCACTTTTCTGTAAATGACATTAAACCACAAGTGAATGTGTGAAAACCTGGAAATGGATTTCTTCTAAAGCAACCAAACGTCTTTCTCTCTCCCTTAAGGCTTAGAATATCTCTGCGTCTGAGTGAGAAATGAAGTCACTCCATCTCGAGGCTGGCTCCATCAGATACAGCCCACCTTGCCTTTCGCTTGAGTGGGGGTCTTCAGTGGAACCACATGGCACTCTCAGTCCTCTTGAGAGAAGGCTGGGGTTTTGAGGGTTTTTTCCCTCGGTGTCAAAATAACAGAAGCAAGGACAAACCCCCCTTTTTTCACTATTAGAAGACCCAGCAGTCATTCTCGCTATTTTTGCTAAAATCTTCTAAACTTTCCCATGTAATGTTGCTTCACCTACTAAATCGAGCGTTGCTTCTCACTACCTGTCTGTGTTTTGTTCTTCCTCTCCTGCGCTCCAGGGTGTGAACGGCATGTCTGTGGATGAGAAGACTGACTCCCCCATGTATGTGTATGAGTCAACAGTGCACTGTACCAATATTCTCCTCTGCTTAAATGACCAGCGCAAGCAGGATATTCTCTGCGACGTGACGCTCATCGTGGAGGGGAAGGAGTTCCGCGCCCACCGGGCTGTGCTGGCCGCCTGCAGCGAGTACTTCTTGCAGGCCTTGGTGGGGCAGACGGAAAATGACCTGGTTGTCAGCCTGCCAGAAGAGGTATGCTATTCGTTGCTGCTGCTGTGGTTTTGGGGTTGGAATGGGTTGAGGATCGCTGGGAGCTGGAGGATGAACACGTTCTCACAGCCTTCTTCACTAGGGGAGAGCAAAACCTGCCAGCACTCCTCACATTTACAGCAGCAAAGCTTTAAAACGCTTCAGTATTTATCACTTCATTCAGCACATTATCAGTACCCGAATATTCTTCAGCTCTTCCAGACAGGAAATTTGAAAGGGGTCACTTGGCTGTTAGACAGCAGGTTATTGTTGAAAAGTCATTTGAACTGTCACATTGTTTGGAGTCTCATCGCTACCCACCCCTCTCCAGCAGTTCATATCCTTGTTCTCGTCTTTCCCCTTTCCTGTGTCCCATTCAGCCTTGCTTCCTTTCTCTTGTCTTCACAACTGCTTTGGGATTTAACTGTTTCAAGCCATGCTTTTTCTGCCAAGAAAGCACCAACACATTCTGTCAAAATGCAGGGTTTTTCTCATGCAGCATGGCTCACACAGCAGGAAGCCAAGGGACGTAGGAAATACATACCTCACTGGAAAGTTTACTTTATTTTACCACAAAATCTCACTGGCTGGCTTCCACCCCCACTGTAATTTCCTCACAGCTCTATGACTGCAATACTGAAGATACCATAGGGCATGCTGATGGCAGGGATGTGCAAGGGTTGCGGTCACCCCCTGCCTGCCCTGAGTCCCCACCTGTGCAGGTCACTCTGTGGTGGTGACATCCCCAAGGCTCAGGAAGGCAGTTGCTCTGGAAGGAGCTCTTCTGGCCTACAGCATGAGGCAGAGGGGTTTTCAACATCATTTGCTTAACACCAATGAAGAAGTATGTGACTGTTTTAGGTGATGACAGGTCCTGAAGTGTCACACACCATTTTTCCCCTCTCTGATTTAGCTCTCTGGAGACCTCAGTGGTATTGTGATGTTGTTATGATGCAAGGTGGAGAGCACTGGAAGAAGTAGGTCACTGGGCATGACTTCACAAGTCCTGACACTGAGTATTACTCATGAAGAGATTTCAACCCAGACATTTTGCATAGGAGTTCACATATATCACAGAGGACATGCTAGGATGCACACAATGATTCGACACTGTCCACTAATAATTTCCAGTGGAAGAATCATGTCTCAGGCAGTGTTGCATAGCTTTTACCCTGCAAAGCAAAGTGGTGGAAGCAGAGAGGTTACAGTAGATGCCCAATGACTGACATGTGCAACAAGAGCATCAGGGCTCTTCTACAAAGCCTTGGTGAGACCTCCTCTTGGATACCATGTATGATTTCTTAAATTGAGAACAATAATTGAAGAATGTGAGAGTGATTGGTGTTAAGAAGGACCCCAGCTTAAATAAGGAGGAGGAGAAAAGGCTAAGGCTATGGCAAGTTCATGCTGCCAGAGTGATGGCTGCAAGGACGTACAGTTCCATGTAGGCATAGCGGGTGAAACAGCTAAAAGGGGGAAGTTTCTCTTTAATAGTAAAAGGCTGTTGACAGTAGTGATGGTTGATTGGTTTATGATGGCTTTTAGTTAAACTAGGTTAGCAGATACTTAATCACAGCAGCAGTGAGGTGTTGAGCCACTAATGAGTGTGAGAAGTAAGGTGACAGAGGAACCGTGCTTGCTTACCTTCAAGACCAGAGGATGGGACTTAATAACACAGTCCTGGGTTTATATGACACTAAAGATCTGAAACACAAAAATTTATCTTTACATGTGTTTTATATTAGACGGTATATTAAAAAAAGCATTCTTCCTTTGCAACCACAAATTATTTCTATTTAAATAAATCCCTTTTAGATAAATGGAGTATTGAGGTTTTATATTTTAGTATGTATCTCAAGATTGAAAAGCCTTAGTGAGTTAAGTTTACACTGTTTGCTGCTACAGCTCCAGTAAAGTCCCTGCTTTTGCATAAGCAGTCAAACCAGGTCATAAGGTTTTTTCCTTACTCTGAAATTGTGCTCCACCTCAGCACATGCCACAGTCACTTGAAGAGTCTTTACCTTTTCATAGCAGAAAGGAACATCCTTGGCCTATCAAAAGAGATATGCACAGTTACTAATTCGTAATTGCACATACATCTTCCACATGCACATGCATCGCTAGTAGCTCCATGGAGTCTAATTTGCTCAGTGACTAACGTATTTGAGTAGTTGTGTGTGAGGTGGTCAGTTAAATAATTTCCTTTAATCCTTAGATGTTAGTCACTGAGGCTTAACAAGAGCTGCCTGATGCAGATTGTGGCTTCTTGATAATTGCTTGGTTAAGGTGCACTCCTCTGCTTCTGCTGCTGCTCTTTGGGATGTATACCATGATAGTTTCCTGTGCTTAGATATGTGAAGTGTCTTCAGTAATGAAGCGTGTCAGAGCTGCTTACAAAAGGAGCTGCAGCACCAGGGTTTTTTTGGAAGCTGATAATGTGGAGTAAAGAACCATCTTGTATATACTGCATTAAAAGAAGTTAGCAGAGTCTTTTTCAATTCACAAGCTAATGGCTCTTCCCATTGTTATTGTTTTTAGTCCATGGTCTGCAGAGCTCCGGAAACCCATGAATTATTTCTAAAGTTATATGTGAGAACTGACTTAATTGCTCACATAGAGAGTTATGGCAGCAGTGGAAAAAATTCAGACAAAAGTCAAAGTTAGCATCGAGCTTAGAAACATCTTTCATTGGCATATGGTTGTAATAGTAAATCAGAGATCACAAATTGTTTTTAAATATAGTCTTCACAGTTCAAAACTTTCCCAAAGGTGACAAAACTCCTAAATTATCTAAGATATTTTTAAGTCAGTCATGCAAGAATTGTGTTTTAAATTCTGTTGTGGTCTGAAAACTGCTGAAGTACACAATTATGGAGAATGACCATTATTATTTATCAAAGGCTTGACGTTGAAGCTGGGTAAGGCTTTATATATAAAGCTTTTGCAGTCATGTTATGTTGGCATGAGGAAACTTAACATGAAACAAAAGAACTTCTTTTTCATTATTCAGAGCAGTAAATCTGCCTCTGAAGACTGGATTGCAGAGGGTTTCTTTTTTACTTTATAGCATATTGGGTCTTTTTTGTTAATCTGGCATGCAGTCCTTGTTAACTGTTGTCTAGCTAAACAGCGAGCAGATGTTTTGTACATTATTTCTTGTTTATATCCAATTACAGTAAGTGCAGGCTTTATGATGTGCTCATCATTTCAGTAGTGACACATTCTGCACATGCAATATGTCTGTGCAGCCTAGTTGAGCTTACTGGATTTCAAACCAGTGTAAAACCTTGTTTTGGACATTTCATGTCACTTCAAGCATGACTTAATGTGCCTTAGTTAAAACCTTTTCCTAATCAACTTATTTAAACTGAGTCAGTATGGAGCTAATTTTGCACTGATTGAAGAGTTTCCATAAACCCTTTCAAGCCGACACCAGTAATTCAATTTCATGCTACACCTCTTTTTAAAGCAGCATATTTCAGTGTCTAGATAAGTGCTTGGAAAAACAGCCACGAAATAGCAAGTGCTCAAATGTGGTTGTAGCATGTGAAGTGACAGGACTCAGAGCCGAGACTGAGGGCTGAAGTGTGTCAGCTGCAGCTCTGTACAGCTCATAAAAAAGGACCCCAATATTCTTAACTTCTGCACTTTCCTCTTCATTTGCAGTTTTGGTAAACAACTACAATCTCATGTGCTTTTCACCCTGGGTATTTTATAGCAGTTTTGCTGTTTTCATCTAGCAGCTGCTGTTAAATGCATCCAAAAATTAATATTTTCCAGGACTCAAGTTTGAAGCTGTAAAGTTACTCATTTAATCCATACCCCTAACTGTTGTTTTGTTTTATTTAATCACAAAAGCTGGTCTTCCTTCCTTTAACAAGGCACTTAATTAAGCTTTTAATTCATGATAAGAAGTTAAATGGCACTTATGAGGCATTTTTAATGGTTTCCACTTCCCATCCAGATTACAAAAAAAGGTGTGATAGAGAGGCAGACACGGCTGTCAGCCAAGGGTATTGTAGGTCATGCCAATATTAGCTGGCAGCAGGCCATTATCCAATTAACATTGCTTCATCGCTGCAAGTAATAGCTCTTGAGTAGATGATTGAGTCATTCATGCTGTAGTGGTACTCTACTTTCCTTGAGAAAGAGCCAGTACTCTGCAGAATAGGCTTTTTATTTGCTATTATTACCTGCCCAGCTTTTCTGTTAAAAGTGCACAGGGAGCAGGTCTGGCTGGGCAGGCTGAGAGCTGGGGGCTGGCCAGAATAGCATCGTCTGCACAGATATCGTGTACACCTTGCTTTCTGAAAACAACTTCCCTTCAATGAGGAAAACATTGGAACAGCAGCAACAAACCTCCTCTGTTGTTTGTGATTCGTACATCTTGGAAAAGAAATTCCCAAATCCGCGTGGGTTTTTGTGGCTTTGAGATGTACACATAAATAAAACCTTCATCAGGTAATTCCAGGTCATTCTTCTCTGTAGGAAGGGATGTGTGATGTGCTTGGGGAGCACTTTTGTTGACCTGCATTGCTCTTCCTTACAATTAATGGAGCAGTGTTCAAAGTAGAGGTCTGCTGGCACACAGTGTGCTGAATTGCTCTGCGTCTTCATTACTTTTCTACTTACTTAAGGCTGCTATGAAATCTGCTGTTTCCCTGTGAGGTCCAGCCCTGTGAAATCTGTCATCTGGTCCTTCAGCTGAGGCAGGCTGGCTCCCTCACATAGTTAATCAGAAGAAGAAGAAAGGCAGGATGGGAGATAGATTTAGGCTCAAGGCTGGCAAAAGCTGATCGTGTTGGAAGGCTAAGGCATGCAGCACCCTGGGTGGGATGGAGCCAGGCAGCTATCATTAGAATTACTCGGCGCTGATGGGGGAGAAATCCTGGCAGCTGTTAACCATCCATGCCAGCCCACCAGCCTGAGGAAAAAACAGTGGGAATTAGCCAACAGAAGATGATCGGGTTCAGGGAAAAATCAAAGACAGAGTGCAAGAGGTC